ATGTTTAAAAAAAGCACTGTCTGAGATTGACACTGATTCACATTCTCTCACTAAAGAAATCATTTAAGTTTTTCATCAATCAGAATCACTAAGGCCCCCACATAATACCATCTCTGCGCAATTAGTCTACGTGTGGAAAGGGTGGTTTGTGAGGTTTTAGAGGTAGAAGACAGAGTTCAGTAAGAAGACAGTAGGTTCGGCAAAAGTAATCACTGAAGTAATCACAATGGGGAACTGTGTAATACTTACATTTGTGAGCCTTCAGTCCTTCGAAGGAAACTGGTCCGATCTCATAATACTCATATTCCCAGGTATAATCAGAATTAGATACAGACTGCTGGAATGTTCTGTTAGAGATTAGCCTCTGAGCAGACATCTCTACCCTGCACAAATGGAGAAAGGCAAGTGCAAAACCTGTTAATTCTTTCACAACTGCAGTTACTCTAATTACTCTTGACCACATTCAGGAATTCAGGAGCAAAAGCCTCAACATGATCTTCCCCATTATGTTAGGAGGAAGTTCTCAGCAGCTGCCCACACCTCACACCATGTGGCCATCATCTTTTTATATTCATTCACTAGTTTGCAAGATAATTGAAATCAGATACTACATCTTTTTTGTGAATTTGCCTCAATGTCTGGCATATAGCCAATGTTCAATAATTAATGAAAAAAAAAAGGGAAGGAGGGAGAAAGTATGTAAAAAATCTCTGAAAGTACGATTTCAGCCATATCACACATACCTATGTGAGTATGTAAATCACCTACAGAAAATAAATAAAATCAGTGAACTAACTCAGTACACATTTATTATGTATCACTAAAGATGTGCAGTCTAAGTATAACAAAATGGAGTGAAGCAAAGAGACATGGACAGCTAAAGCTGCACAATGGAACAAGATCCTCAGCGAAGGACCCCTTATACCCACTGCTTACTCCTTAAGTTCATCATATTTTCAGGATTTCCCAAGTGTAATCTTTGTTCATGATGATCATTTTGGACTACAATATTCTGACTTCTTTGGAATACACAGCACTGGGCAGCAGGGATTCCAAGAAGTCAACACAACAACACAATTGTGTTTCATTACTGTGTAGCTACTGTGTACAAGTCTGCCCCCTGTGGGGCAGGCAGAGACACCTGAAACACAGACCAAGACCCCATAGACCTTCCTTTGTAATGAGGAAACAGACAAGTAGACAAATAGCAGTAATATAAGGAGAAACCTAAGTGAAACACCAGCCAAAACTAAGATTAACCAAGCAGTCACCACCACTGCACTCATTCTGCAAGAGCTTTCTGAAGTGCCAGTTCTTCCATGTCACTGTGGGCCAGTCATCCACAAGTACCTATAGGGCATAACTCCCAGGACAGCTAAGCCAAAATCATCACCATCCTTCATCCCCAATCATGAGTCTCTCCTTTCTCACATCCCTTCTTCCCTGTTCCCAGACCTGGGCCCCATAGAAAGAGATTCCAATCCCTCAGCATACACTGTTCAAAGGATGGGTGCTCAGATCCAGAGATTTCTGCCAATGTCAGAAACCAGAGTGTGTGACTCTGAGGCCTAGTCAGACAAATCATTCCTCCAAATGCAGGAAAGAATGTGTTGACTTTGATTTAGGAAAGACACAAATTATAAGGAAAGCTGACCTTTAAGTAAACATTCACCCACCTTTCCAACACCTGCATGGAAATAATATAAAACCATTACCACGGTATCATCTTTGGTTTTTTTATTATTTGAACATGAAACTCTTTCCCTCAATGATAAAATAAATTTCCTCAGGAAATGAAAATTAACAATTCAAACTTAAGAAACACTATCCTCATTAATAAGCACTTCCCCCAGCAGAGAAGAACTGTGACAGAGACTGAGGAGCATTCAGGAGAATAGGTCAGAAATACATGGTAGAGTGGGATAAAGCTAATCTCCAAAGGAGAGTATTAAGAACTCCATACCACATAGAACAAGACCCTGGATCGAAGTCAGAAGGCCAGGGACTTCATCTTTACTGTTTCCATCTGCTGCATCTTCAGGCTATCATTTCAGCTCCATTTTCCTCATCTGTAAAACCGACCATAATGACTTGAAAATACTTTTGTAGGAAAAGTACCATCATCACCTGCCTGGACCACTTCTTGGGTCTCCTAACTGGTTTTTCTGCTTCCACTTTTTTTTTAATCAATGAGTCTTTATATATTACATTTTCCCAGAGAAATAAAAAGGGAAGGAAAGAATCAGAATGTATATTATTAAGTGATTAGAAATAGGAAATGAAGTACTCTGGTACAGCAAAATCAACCATAAAATATACATCCCAGTGATGCTATCACCAAAGCTCAAGGGGACTTACTCTCAAGCAGTTGAAGAATGAGGGAAAGTAATCAGTGAAAGAACAGACAAGTTGACACCACAATTAACCATCATACTTATGTTCATGTATAGCCTGCAAGAGAAGTACATTTATGTTTCTAAACATTATGAAAAAGCTGAGTGTGGTAGTGCACACCTGTAATGCCAGCACTCTGGGAGGCTGAGGCTAGAGGATGGCAAATTTGAGCCCTGCCTGGGCAATTTAGTGACATAGCAAGACTCTGCCTCAAAATAAAAATTTAAAAAGGTCTAGGAATGTAGCTCAGTGTAAGGCCCCTGAGTTCAATCCCCAATACTGAAAAAAAATATCGAAAGGATAGTATCTTGTGACACTGAAAATTATATGAAATTCAAATATCAGTGTCCATAAGAAAGGCTTCATAGGGCTGGGGATTTAGCTCAGTTGTTCCACTGCCTGCCTCACAAGCACAAGGACCCGAGTTCAATCCCCAGTACCAAAAAAAAA